AGCCGGGAAAAGGATTTTGCCGCCCGGTTTCCATGAAAAAATATCTACAGGTGACCAAAAGTGCCACCCTTGAATATAAAGTCAAAAGTGACCCCCACCCTGGACGTGCTTCCCCCCCCCCCCCGCGCGCAACTCAATCTTACACCACTTGCAGTGATAGTAATCCCACGTGTGGCTTTGACCAGCCCCTCCCCCCCCCCCACCTCTGTCGTCGCAAGCGTTTCGACCTCAGCAAACGTCCTCTCTCTACACGTGCGGTCTTCATTAGCACCTGCCCTGCTCATGACGATCATCGCTGTGGCTGCCATGGGGACTGGCCCGCGGGAGGGCTTCCTCTCTCAATAAAATCTGGCCTTTCCTAGCCAGTCGTTGTTTATTGTCTTATCCCCCGTGTTTGTTTTAATTAGGCTTCAAACTTCTTGGAAAGAAACCGTGCCCCGATGGAGTTGGATGCTGACTGGAGGTTTCATTTATCAAAACTATTAAGACGACATAAGACTATCACGAGTTCGTTAGGATATAGGATATAGGATATATATTAACCAAAAATTAATAATTTATTTATATGAAATTAGGAGCGAGAAACTATTTTTACTACATCTTCTACAGCCACAGGAGCAGGGGCGTCTAACTCTTCCCCCCCCACCACACACACACACATACAATAGAGGGATGAAACCCAACACTCCTCTCTCCTTAGACCAACACTGCTTCCTCCTTTGACCAAATCATTTCGGTTGGATGTGTGGCTGGATGACTGTGCGGTCAAAACTGTGTCCTACATTGGTTGGATGTGTGGCTGGATGACTGTGCGGTCAAAACTGTGTCCTACATTGGTTGGATGTGTGGCTGGATGACTGTGTGGTCAAAACTGTGTCCTACATTGGTTGGATGTGTGGCTGGATGACCCCCCGAAACTCAGATTGGAAGCGGCTGCTTCCTTACGCCCCTGACAAGAGCAGTCAGCCATACTCCCAACAAACTCTGTCCACATCTAATTTCCCTCTTTTTTCGTTCCCTTTTTTTTTTTTTTTTTTTTTGTATGGCAGCCTATTTTATTAATGGACGAACCTGTGTTAAATAAACATAATTCTGAAAGCGGCACAAAGACTTATCACATCTGCGGAAATGTAGAACATGAAATCCAGACAACTGACGGTTAGAAGGATTCCCGCACATGGCCCCATCATAGCGGTCCAGCTGCTTAAGCTTGGACAAAGAAAACTAGTTTGATTGGAAGATTTTCCAGGTAGACTAATATATATATATATATATATATATATATATATATTTTTTTAATATTTTTTTTTAAAGTAATTCAGGCTTTGTACATGGGTTCTAATCTTATCTCTTTTTGGTCCAGTTATATATTACAAAATCTCCGTGAACCTTCTTAGTTATAAACAGTCATTTTCATTTTTTATTAATCTCGGAGTAAAAGGTGTGGAGTATCCAGAAACAAAAAAAAAA